AGGCGTTGAAGGACTTCGTCCCCGTGAAGAACCCCCCTCCGCCGGCGGACAACCCCTGGCTCAAATACGAAGGATGGTACTGGAGAAAGGTCGATAAGAAGACCGGGGAGACCACGCAGATCCCGGAGATGGCTCTGTGGGAGGACGTCGACCGCGAGGACATGCTGTTCAACGAGAGGGACTACATGCGCGCCGACTGGCTGGCGACCTCGGCCCCGCTCAAGGGTTTCGAGGAGGCGTTCATCAAGGAGTATCTCGCCTTGGCCAAGCCGACGGCAGACCCGCTAGATCCCCGGGAGCAGAAGCTCATGGCGGAGCTGGAGGAGGTGGCGGCCCGAGAGCATGCCAGCACGATGAAAGACGGATCGCTGGTCTACGAGCTGCGCAAATGCGCTTTCCCGGGCGATGCGGCGAAGCGCATGCAGCTGCTCCAAGCGGCCGGGGAGCGGACCAAGTCTTTCCTTACGGAGGTGGAATCGCAGCCCTACCGGCCACCCTGGAAACCCGGGAAGTTGAGAAAGATAGAGGTTGTGGAGCTTGTCAAGGATGACATGGAGTAGTAGAGATTGACGTTTGAATATCTAGCAGATCTCTCCGGGTCTTTCTTACCAGGAAATAGCAATGGCAGCATCGTTTCAGTTTTACCTGTTTCTTTGATAGCTCAAAAAAATGTATATTTGAGTTAGGCCTGGAAATAGGGCTTAGTAGGTTCTAAAGGGCACATCGTTCTCTTTACTCTAAAGTACGAGACATCCTGGACATGCGAGAATGTCACGACCAATTCTCTCCTAACATCAACAAAAAATTCAAGCCTAGCAACCACACCCAGCCCAACACCCTCGGCACTCTCACAGAAAACGCAGAAACAGGACCCGCCGCCCCAGCCCAATGAATCGAAACAGTCGCAGGCGCCACCCCCGTCGTCGAAGTGGACCCGGACCCGGAATCCGCCGCCGAGGCCGACAAGCTCGTCACACTGCCCCCCTCCATCACAATACTCTCAAAGTCCCCACTCTCATCGCTGTACGTATACGACTCTGCCGGATAGTAGTTCACAATATTCACCGTCTGCACGACCATCGTAAACGGGGCCTGGGAGTAATTCGTCTCCCCACCGGCCCAGGAAATCGTCCCCGCGCTGTTGTCCGGGTCCCCGCCCGCCCAGATCCCGATCTTGATCCGCGAGGGGGTCTGCGGGTAGCGGGTGCCGTCCGCGGCGTCACTGTACGCCAGGGTGCGCTGGGCGGTGCCGTCGATGCTCCAGGTCAGAGCCGCGGGCGTCCAGGTCAGGGTGTAGTTGTGGAAAGTGGATTGCGGGTCGTCGACGGGCTCCCAGGTCCAGCGGTCCGAGCTGGAGGAGTCGCCCTTCCCGAAGTAGTCGGTTTGTAACTCCGTGGTGTAGGAGCCCAGAATTTCCTGTCCCGTAGGAGAGGGGGTTGTTAGTGGGAGGGGGTCCGACGAGCGAGTAGATGCAGTTGACAGTGGGGCGGGGATTGTGCTCGTACCCAGTCGATCTCGTCGAGATCATCCGACTCTAATACTATACTGCTGATGATCCCCGTGCCAGCGGAGGCTTTCATGACGACACTGATCTCGCCGAAGAAGATGTAGAACGGCGTGGCGATCGTGGGGGCCTGACCCTCCTCGTTGATCGTGAGCTCGACGCCCTCGGCGCCAACCGTTGGGCTGCCCGAGAGCGTCGACCACTGTGCAAGAGTCTCTGAGCTCTGCACGAAGTCATAAGAGAGGCTGCTTTTGGTTGAGCCCGTGTCGGACGGGCAGGTTTTGTTTAGAGGGTTGCAGTCCGTGGAAGTCTGTGCGAGGGTCACGGGGAGCGCGGAGAGAAGCGCAGCGGTATGCCGAAGTAAACGCAGCATTCGAATAACGGGGTGTGATCTGGGCGATTGGTTTACCGATGATGCGGTATAATGTTGTACATAGTGGCTGAGAAACGAAGTATATATGGCAGAACCATGGAGACAAGCTTTTTTTTCCCTCTGCTGCCACCCGCCGGATGATAGACACAACCTTTTCGCATCTTTGTTCCCAGCCTCCTCAATGATGCCCAGTTGCCTATGACACAATGACGGCGGTTCTATGGTTGCTTCCAGCCTCCCTGTTTTTAAAGTCTCTGATGAATTCCAGGGCGGAGTACATGTCGTGGTCTCAATATACACTATCCGAAGACGGCTAGACGGTCAGCATCGGGGTGGATCGCTAGTATCTGCTAGCGAGTTACAGCCTGTGAGGTCGGAGAATTCCCCGCTTATGCAGAAGCTTGTCTACGTACGTCAGCATATTGAATAACTCTCACCCATACAGCGACTATGAATGTACTTCCTATACTCAGGTCCCCAGACAAAAAGATCCTACTAGTAGCCAGAAAGGTAGATCACGGCCGGGTGTCTGTCTATGACCACAGCCGGTCCGATGCAGAAGGTTGGAGGAGGCTGGGTTTGGGGCGAGTTGTGGACTGGTCGTTTCGTTACTGGTGGGGGGGTTTTTCTTTTGCCGGTAGTATGTCTTGAGTGGGGAGGCGTTTGGATAGCGTTAGGCAACCTTCAATCGATATGTAGTCATGTGTTGGCATCCTTCCTTAGGACATGGCTTCGTTGTATCGGAAGATTTGAGATGTATGTACACAAGCAAGAGTCTCTGTTCAAGTGGGTGATATCTCTAACTTGTTCCCACCCATCCCGCTCACACTCACCCCTTGGCCCTACAAGTGACAACGCGCTCAGGCCTCGTTGCATTATCCGCGTTGATACATACGGAATGAGCACGGCCGCGCGGACGGGGAGCCAGATTTTCCATACCCTGTTGTCGTATGTACTTGGTTAGAAATACAATGAGTAATAAGCTTCCCAGAGGACAACTAAACAACTATAGTGGTTCCTCACTCCACCTCTACGATGTTGTTGCAAATCAATTGTGAGGGAGTACTCCTTTGGTTCCTCAGACTATGTCGTGATTAGGCATGTTTATGATAAGAGGGTAAGTTGTATATCACACTACTTTTATAGCAACATTTCCAGCATTGGAATCAACGATAGTCTTTCTGACAGTCCCAAGCTAGCAAGACTACAAAAATATCTTTTTTTCTCTATGTCAACTGTCCCAATTGAAGTACAATCCTGCTCCTCTGCGAGACTCATACGCAGTCTCCTCGGGCTGGAGAAGGTTGGGAACTATCGAGCTTTTCATGGCTGCTATACTTGTCGTTCTGTGCACGTTTTATGTTGTCAAGTTAGCAGGACAACATCTAACCGTAGGGAGGGCCTCTGAGGGCTCAATATGTGTATCTTATAGAAATAGAACATAAGAAGGTTGGTCCCATACTGCCACGGAATCAGCTTGCAATGCTGATCCCCACAGGCGCCTCACTATCCCAGGCACACAATGTGGTCAATTATACCCGTGTCATTTTTAGCAGGCGAGGCCAATAAGAAGAGGATAGTGATAGATATGCCCATTGCTTGAGATCCGGACCCTGGCTCGCTCTATATCAAGGCCCTGGGCCTAAATGTGCTGCCTAGGTTGGCCGAACCCTGATAATCTCCCGAGCCAGGCCCTGAATCTTTGCAGCCTTTCTGGCGAGGATCCTTTGTTTTGGAACCAGGTATCAGCAATACGGGCGCGATAGGCCCACACCGAGCAGGATCGTACCGTGCGGCTTCATCCCCCGGCTCTATACAAGGTTGGAGGGACTTCTCCTACTATCTCCCAGTGTGAGGGCCAGATTGATGACGTCAAATCGCTTCGACAAATGCCTCCGTATCAAAGTATGTCACCGCCTGGCCCAGAAACAAAATTGTCAGGCATCGATTCAGCTGATAGTTCGCTTCCATAGTATTCGGATTGTCACTACAGTAGTAAGTGGATCAGGTGTACATACACAGGGCAAGAGTTCTCAAGTGGAAAAGAGAAACAGCAAGGTGGTGTGGTCTAATCACAAGCCAAAACCCCCCACGCCCGGGCGGCTCCAAACAAACCTAGCAAATATGCAAACGAAGCAAACTTGCTGGCGCGCTCCGTTTCGCCTTCGCCACTTTGCTTCTTCACCGTCTCCCTACTACTACTATCAGCGGAATCTCAATGTTATATGAACAACACATTTGTATCAAATATACTATGAGTTTCCAGCCCGATAGGGGGGTTTTAAGACCACTTCCTGACTGAGTTGGCTCCTATATGTAGAAAACCAATGCACACGTAGTTGAGTTATAGCCCTTGCCAGCTCTGGTAAGCAGTAGAGCTAGAAGCTATCGATATTTCGAATACAGTCCCGCGAAAGTAGTCTGCGTACTCCCTCCACCAGCCCTGAGGTGTTCGTCTTCTTCCTATTTAGGACTAGTTACACCTTAATTCTGCCGGCAAAAGCCACCTCTGCCAGATCCTTGTACCAACCATCTGCCTCAATAAGCAATGAGGAAGGCGGCGCTGCAGAAAGTGGCGCTTGGAACTAAACAACTCGGTGGGGGGTACGCAGACTACTTTCCTCCCACTGTAGCAGTCATGTCATCGGACTGACTAGACAAAGAGACTGTCATTTGTGTACCTAGGTATGACAGGAAACAGCTGCAAGGTGGGGTTGCACTAGAGGAGGGGCAGCAATCAACCAAGTCCATATGGCTTTGAGGTCTTCTAGCCTCAGTACCTTCTTATTTGCTGGTAGGGCTTGACAAAGAGTACCACAACCTAGGATACCTGAACTTATGAAGTTTCTAAGACAGATACTGCCCACCCCCGCTTTTTATCAACAAAGAAAATCACTCAATTGTAAAATGCCCGCCACTTGATATGTAGAGTACTGTCTTTATCATCTTTCACACTGCTCCTAACCCAGGCCCAAATTCTTATTGCGTGCCATCTCCTTGTGTTTACCATAAGAAAAACCCCCTCTCATTCATTTTCATTAACGGCTGCTTGCATAGAAAGAGAATTAAGCAATAATCAGAGACTTGATTTAAGTGCGGCCCTGCTAGTATAGGACTTCGATCATGGCGAACTCATCTCAACTCTCCGACTCAACCATCTCCGCTTCGGTTTCGGCTGACACCAAAACATTACTTCTTATTATGGGGCCCTGTGGGGTAAGAGGTTGCGAGTGTACCTCCGGAGAAAGTGTATCCAATTCGAATTACTGGTGCGAAACAAAGTGTACCAGATGCACACATCCTCTCAGCAAACATAACAGCTATGGTCAGTAGCTTTCTATGCTTGATATCTGCTCCCACTGATGTATTCCAGGTGACCCCGGTTCTTCTGGCTCTGGTATTCTTTCGGCTCGGAAAACCAAGCCTCTCAGTAAGTGACTCCCTATTCCAGACCATGACGGCAGAGTTGTGTTTGACCTTTTCCAGTGATCAAGCCTTATGTCCACCCACGACATGATCTAATCGACGAATTGATCCGCCGTCTAGAACGCTACCACCTGATCCGAATCAACGGGACCCCTGCCTCCGGGAAAACAACAACAATGAAGCTGTTGGCCAATGAGTTACTCGAACGGTATCCCGATACTCCGTTGTATGTTCTATCAGGTTGGCCGGAGAGACAGGTTCGGGCTGCAGGAGGCTGGATACGCTATTTCAAAGAGCATCTCAACGTCCGTGGTGATGAACTTGAAGCATATCCATGTTTCATCCTTCTTGATGAGGCACAAGAGTCATATTGGGATACGGACTTATGGGCTCAACTCTTTAAGTCTATTGAGAAGACAGTCTCCGTCCATTTTGTTCTTTTCACATGCTATGGCGCAGGGATGACCCATGGCGGCGGGGGTCAGACGCTCCCTACTCCGACGCCTATCAATTTCCAACTTCACCAGCAGGTATCGCTGAGACCGGAAGAAGGGATTTATAACCACCCGGGGCGGAAACAGGTTGGCTTGCTGCTCAGTGAGAACGAAGCGTACAACGTTCTGGACCAATATGTGCCAAGCAACATATCGAATGGTGCAGACATTCTCACAAAAGAGTTGAAGTGTGGATTATATCTGGCCAGTGGCGGCCATGCGGGGCTGCTTGTATCCCTCGTGGATGCCCTGGAGCAAGTACCGGTAAGCCGTATTCGTGAGTGAAGACCTGAAAGATTGACTAACTTGCTACTTTATTGCGTTTCACAATAGGAGCTCTATACCTTGATTCAAAGAAGCCAACCGCTCGATTGGGTGACAGCAAGCCGTAGTCTGTTCAGCGATGACCAACGATTGTTCCAAATCATTCAGTATCTCCCATTTGCTCGAGGCCTTCCTAGACAAGAATACCTGCAACAACACGCTTTCGCTAGTGTCTTTAAGAATGCTGTTGCTCACAACGGGACTCTCCAGTCGAGTTATCTCAAGAACCTAGTTCAACAGAGGGCTCTTGAAGATATTTGGAAACAAGGATGGCTTCATGCGGAGACGGTACAGAGAGATACACTTTATGTGTTTCCCAGCCAGATCCATCGATGGTGAAGTTGCTGATCGATTTTCGATTTGTTTTTATATTTACTGATACAATATCTCAGGTATTGCCAGTGTCTTTTCTCTCGGGTAAACTCAGAAAAAGAATTGAACTATTCATCGCCTCTTGAGATGGCTATCGATGCCATCCGCAAATTTGACCCATGCCAGCTATCAAGTCGTCTACGCACACTAGAGGGTGATCCCATCCCCATTGAAGACCAGTACCAGAAGGAATTCTACCGCTGCCTGTTCCCACTGCTGCTCGAATACCAGATCAAAATGGCTCCAGAATACCTTATCAAAACAGGGGTTAGGAGTGGAAGAATCGATTTCCTGATAGAGCAGAAGCGGTGGGGGCTGGAATTACTACGAAATGGCGACCGTGTCAAACAACATATGCAACGGTTCAAGAAAGATGGTCAGTATTTTACCATGCTTAAGAAAAGCTGATACATGATTATGTCGTTCTGAATTTCACTCGAAATATGCCGCAGAAAAGCTATCCAGGTAATATCCTTTCAAGCCCTCATTCTGATGGCCCGGTCTAAATATCTTCTCTAGAATATCGCGGTCATCTATACCATGTTGTCTTTTCTGGGGATTTTAGAATCGTTCGCATCATTGATGCCTCGGATCTGAGTGAAGTCATTACCCTTGTTCTAGTAGAGAACCCACACTTTCTCCGCTAAACAGCACTTGGTATTACGCTGCTTTGCCTCTGTTGCTTTTACACAATTTGATCATCTCTTTGATCCAATTTGGCAGTCATACTCTGCCTGGCTATTACACTTGATCCAATGTTATCGTGTGAACGTGTTCATTGTAACCTCAGGCACTGAGCTGTAGGGACATTGTTGTAATGAGAGACGTCACAGTGCCCATTCCTTCGTCTCGGATGCTCTACAAACTGGAGAGAGTGCACGACACCCTCAACTCCTCGCCCGAATAAACTCTACCAACGCCTTCCTTCCCGCCGGTCGCACTGGTGCTTCGGTATGCATCGCCCCGGGCACATCCGTCCTCACCATCTCGATGCCCAACCTCCTGGCCTCTGCCTCCAACTGCCCCGCCGCCTCTGGAGGGATCACCTCATCGTTCGTAGCAGTGAGCAGCAGAATGGGCGGTATCACTCTCCTCTCTGGTGGATGTGGACTTAAACCTGCCGTTGCATCATCACCCGGAGCTGTCTGAATCCTGTCAGACGCATCATTCTCTTCGCCATCCTCAGAAACAGCGACCCCATCGCGCCACGCCACCATCCGCCGCAACGCGAGCACACTGTCCCAGTGATTCCACAGGAACGGCCACAGATATCGATACGGCAGCCACTTCTGCGGATACAGGCTGATAAGCATCTCCTTGACGCTGGAGGAGGGCGCCTCCATGATCAGTCCTGTGATGGGGGTGGATGAAGCTCGAGTTGCCGCGACGTCAGCGTCCGCGGGACTGAGCTTTCGAGTAGTCGTGGATGCCACCGCACCCCCATTGTCGAGGTACGTCGCCAGCGCGGTGGTCGCAACCGCGGAGCCCAGACTGTGACCCCACAGGACCACGCGGACCTCTCGGTCCGGTGCCGTGTAGGTCTGCATCACCCACGCCAGGAACGCCTGGGCGTCGCGCTCGATCCCCCTCTGCGAGGCGCGGCCGGACGAGGTCCAGTAGCCGCGGTAGGAGAGGGCGGTGGTGATGTACTCGACCTCTGGTTCTGGTTCTGGAAACCCAGAACTAGGCGGGCCGTTGGACAGCGCCCGCAGGGTCTGCGAGAGTAGCGGCAGGCGCAGCGGGGTGGAGCCGCCGTTACCCTGGAAGTAGCAGATGACTACTGTCTTTTTCGGGGGCTGTTGTCGTCGGGGGAGACGGCCCTCACAGACGGTGAGTTTCGTGCCGTCCAGGCTGCGGATCTGCTGCGTGGTCCATTGCACGGGACGGCATTCGGGTTCGTAGGCGGCGATGGTCTCGGAGCGGGAGAGCGGTGGGAGCCAGGAGAGGTAGAGGAGTTTATCTTGCAGGAGGACGATCCAGAAGCATTTCCAGGTCCAGAGGCCGAGGAGGAGGCCGAGGAAGATGGTTGGTGGGATGAGAATTGGGGGGAGGGTGGTGGTGAAGAAGGTGCGTTTTGAGGCTGGGTTAGATGGTTGAGTGAGCTGTTTGATAAGCCGGTGTTTGATTCTGGGAGTAGGCCTGGAGAGGTGGATGGTTGCTCTAGATGTTCTAGATGGGTAACATAGTGGACATGATGTTGCGGCTCGGCGAGTCGCCGTTATCGCAACTGCTCCGAAGACGCCGCGTCGTGCGCACAGCACAACCCATTGACCTCGCATCAACGGCACGACGGTGATGGCGGCGAGGGTCTAGGCGCGCCGATTTGCATCAGATTCCGAAAGAAGATATGATGGCAACGAGGCGTGGCGTGAAGTTGGCGGTGGATCGTCAATGGTGAGGCAGCGCGGCTTTTCATCTGGTGGAGATTCGGTGGGGATCGGTTGCCGCTGACTAATCCAACATCGGCTGGGAGCGAGTCACGTGGTGTGTCGATTCTCCCTCCCACTCTCGGTTCATCAGCATCTGTTCCAGCACAGCTGCCGGCGAAAGCGGTTGCATTCTTGCTTGATATTATCGAAATTCAAATCAGCATGGTCCAGACTCGATTCAATTGATTGTATACGTTTCAAATCCACACACTCGACAAATGCGACCGTACGAAAGAGTGGCCCACAGCATGTACGCCAGGGAGCCTAGCATGGAACTACGAATACTATCAACATGGCGAATCTGAAGTGCTGCTCACCAAGCCACAGGGACACGTCTGAGTTCATCCACTTAAAAAAAAGTCTCTTAAAATAGGTGCAGCGAGGCAAGCCGCGTGGAGCCGGCAATCACTGTCGGATCTCATAGCCGAGGATCAGCAGCCAAGCCTACTGTTTTGACCGGAGGCTGGTACAAGGACATCAAACACAGATATGGTATATTGAAAAAGATAAGTAGCAGCCTGCCTTGGGGGCAGAAGAAAAGGTATCAACAAGAGAACAACAGAACCACCACCACCACCACACTGAAGCACTGTTGTTTCGGTTACAGACGTATATACGTGATAATTATTGACATCGGTAGCGAATATGTATCGAGAAGACACGGCCGGACGCGGGTATATACAGCTCACCCACTGACCTGATCGGGTGACATTCACCCAGAGTAATCGATCACAGCAGCGAGACGCAAGGGGCCAGCAGTGACAGAGCCTCCGATGCCACCAACGGAGCTCTCGGAGGGGGTGTAGGCGTTCTCGACGGTATCGCCGCCGGAGGTGATGTACGAGCAGCCGGTGGTGGTGCCGTGGCGGCAGAGCTTCATACCCTGGATGGTCTGGTCGGCCTCCTCAGCGACGATGGCACTGACGTCCCAGCCGGACCAGCTGTCGTTCTCCTCGTCGCCGAAGTCGAACTCGCCCCAGGTGCACGAGTACTCGCCGTAGTCGTTGGTGGGAAGACTGTCGCCCTCGGCGGCGCCCCAACCGCCCTGCGAGTTCTCGTCGAAGGCAACGTAGCGCGTCTCGCCCGAGGACAGCGTGAAGTTCAGGGCCGAGTGACCGAAAAACCCGTCGTCCGCCCCGTCGGGCCCGATCTTGTTCCAGATGCTCACGAACCAGTCCGCGCTGTTCTGTCCCGTGAACTGCACCACGTACTTGTACTGCCACGCCTCGCTGGCGCTCACCTCGATGATGTTGCTGCCCCACGGCACACCCACGTTGCCCACGTAGGTGTCGCCGCTGCTGCTCGTGGTGTTGCTGCGTTCGCCGAACCCGCTGGTCGAGTACACGCCGCTGGTCGGGTACGTATACCACGCTGAGCTGACGCCGGCGGCGCTGCTGCTAGCTGCGGTGGAGGAGGAGGTCGTGGTAGTGGTGTGAGCATGGGTCTTGGTGTGGGTGCTGGTGCTGAAGGTGGTGGTGGTCGCTTCGGAGCCACCGATGGAGAGGCCAAGGCTCAGGCTAGCGCTGATGGCGAGATCCTCGTTGAGATCGAGTTCGACGAAAGCGGCGGCATCGCTGGCGGAGGTGGTGGCGGCGGCTTCGGCGGTGGTGGTAGCGGCTTCCTCGTGGGTAGTGACGGTGGGTGCTGCACCAGTGACAGTGCTGGTGAGCGTGATGGTGTGGTAGTTGACCACAGTCTCCACGACCACTTCACGGGCAGCCAGGTGTGCCTCCGGGGCACGTTCGGCATGGCCGTGGCCGTGGGGGTGACGGCGCTGGTGGCCGTGGGTGCGAGCCAGGGCCGATTCGGCGATGGCACCGTAAAGAAGGAGTGACTTCCACTGCATGGTGGGCGTGGTTGGCTGATCAACGAATGGATCGGAAAGATAGCTGTGTGTCGATCTGTTCGACTGAAGGAGAGTGTTGGACGTATGCTCTGCGCACGACTGCTATAACCCTGGCTGACTTGAACCAGGAGGGCTCGATCAAAGGAACGACTGGATGATGCTTGAAGGAGAAAGAAGATCAGAGCCAACAGAGTGGTCCCAGTCCCAGTATATAGATTAACCCGCCGCCACCCCAGTTCACACGGGCGTCAAAGCGGATAGCCAACCGACGGTGGGCGACGCAAGACAGCGCCGAGTGGAGACAGGACAAGACTGGAGAATCGTCAGCATTGGGCCCCGATCAGTCACATCGCCTCGAGAAGGCCCGTTGTCGAATGGCGCGATCCAGACCAGCTGGCGACTAAAGGAGTTTGTCGAATCAATAGTTCCCGCTTAGGGCAGTGAAACGGAGGGCCACCAACTTCCTCTTCTTCTCTCTCCACCCCCCAGTTGCTCGAGGGGCCGGAACAGATTATAATCCATCACTGCTGTTGGCTGACATTCCTGCAGCCAGTGTTTTGGTTGTCAGTGGGGGACCACACGAACAGACTCCCTCCTACTGTTCGTTTTTCAGGTACACAGGCCTGCTCATTGGCATGCCATGCATTCCCTACGTAAGCCCGCGACGGCCCCCCCTTGCGTCGTCACTCGTCACCTCAGCCCTCCCACTGGTCCGACAAGAGACGCGGACATTTTTCCAAGCCATGTGTCTACGGAGTAGAGTGTGCCTGGCCCCCCGAGGAGGATCTAAGGAGTGGTGTCAAGCCAAGGCAGGTTGCTCGGGCGAATGGTGACATTCCTAAGGCAAACTCTGGGTTCTAGACGGAGGGCTAGCGCAGTCCATCGGAGTGGGTCATTTCCGAACGACGGATCGCAAAGGTGTGTGTACTGTTACTCTGTAGTGCAGCTGTTGTTCGAACTCGTACTATGTATTATTATTGCAAGTTGATTTGCTGGTTGACTTTGACCAATGTCCAAAGTTTCCACCAGGCAAACACATAGAAATTTTCGAACGGTGAGGGCTAAGCCTTGTTAGCGCGGGCTAGCCGTGCAACTCCTTTCCTTTCCCTCGCGATCGATCAACACCACGTGTGCTGGTTTCAGTAGGAGAGATGATGTGCCGGATCGACTGCTGATTATTTTATTCCTTGATAGGTACTAAACTGCAGCAGCTATACACCTGTCATAGAAGATATCCTGATTTATCACTTTCACCATTCCCCCCTGTTTGCTACAAACAAAGATCTTGACCTGTGTTTTTGTTCCTGTCCGCCACTTTAGGGCACAACAACTAACAGGTGGGGCGGGAGTTACGTATACCCGCCAGAACTAGTGCTGGGCCAAGGTTGGCGATGACGAATCCACGGATCCGGTTATTACCTTATTCCTTTGCCGCGGTGTCTGTTTGTGTCTTGTTCCGTGGACGTATCTACCGAGTACTCTAGACGGATTGGAGCAAGATCTCGGGGCAAATGGCTGCTACAATCATAGCTAGGCAAATAGTCCATGTACTGTATAGATAGTGCATGTACTGTATAGTGCTAACAATCTTGTATGCACAAATAAACAAAACCAACATCAATCAGAATTAGGGGCAAGAGACATAAGGTCAAATTAAATCAAAAGGAAGAGCAATACCAAAAGTTAAAGTCAAAGTCAAAGCAAAGAAGTAATATCCTCCAAGCAATATAACCTTTCCTGAACAACAGTGGCCGTAGCCTAACCAACACCCCTGAATACCCCCATAAACCCCTTTAGTCTCCCCCCTCCCCCAAAAGACAAGAGGCGTGATATGATCACTCATCATTATCATCATTATCATCATCATCATCATCATCCTCCTCCTCCTCCTCCCACACCCCCTCCCCAGATGCTGGATTCATAATCCCCTGGCCGGCCCAGTACTGATCCTGGGTGACCACCGCACGAAACGTGTCCTGATTCTCGGTCTTCCACAGCTCGCGCAGCCCGTCCAGCTGCGTCTGCAGCACATCCCGGAACCCCGGCTCGACCGCATCCCGCCGGCGGAGCATCTCGCGGTGCACGAACTCGAACCGCTCCATGGTGGCGAAGGTCACGTCGCTCAGGGCCGTGTCGACGCGCTGGATGTCCGTCGGCCGCGGGCCCTCCCCCACTCTCACGGACAGGAGCTGGGCGAGGGGCTCGCGGAAGGCGGCGAAGGCCTCGCTGACCAGGAACAGATCTTTCAGGGTTATGGTGTGACAGCGGAGAACGGCAGCGGGCCGGCCGAGGAGGCTCAGGCTCCAGGCTTGGTAGAGGGCGCGCACGAGACGGCGGGTTTCCAGGGACCGATTGGCAAGGCCGTAGCCTTCGGGCTGGAAGGCTCGGGTGGCGACGTGTTAGGTCTGGGCCGCGGTGATCTGGGCGGGGTCTTGGGCCAGGAAGTTTGGGATGAGCGGGTGGGTGGTGTTCACTCCAAGGACTTGGCTGGAAAGGTAGTTTACGAGGGCCGTGAGATCTGGAATGATGGGGTTCATCAGTGTGGGGACTAGACGGGAGGGGAGTGAGTTGCGGTTAGTATCTGGTCAGTGGAAGAATTGGGTCTCGGCTCATGCGTCGAACGAGGGAAGGACGAAGAGATCCTACTGCTGCCTAAAAGGACCCAGATGCGATCGAAAGTTGGAATCGGCTGATACGCAAGTGTCCTGATGGCGAATGCTTGTGCATTGTACATCAATCTCATTAGGATCCCTAAGTTGAGCTTGCTCACGTCTCTGAGTTCGGGGTCGCCCTCTTGATCAGCTAAGAGGTGCAGCGGGAGATGCACCGAGCCGAGGATCTTGGGAGCCATTTTCCGGAAAATGTAAGCAATGTTCTGGTGGACTATGACGTGCAAACGGTGGGATGTCAGGCTGAGCTGTATGACGTCCTCGAAGGTCCCCAGAGTGAGTATCATCATAAGGATTATCTCGACCGGGAACAAAGCAAAAGGGTCTTGGGGCAGGGCAAATCTGCCTTCCCTCTTGGGACCGTCTTTGTCAGGCATCGTGGTTGCTTGATGCTGATGACAGCCAATGTATTGCCAGAAACTGAATTCGGAGAAGTCGGATGGTGGCAAGGCCTTTGTTGGGATGAGGGCGATGATGAAAGTGATGAGGAGAAGAGAGGAAGGAGTTATAAAGGAAAAAGGTAGGAGTGATATTTATGTCTGAGATCTACGCAAAAACAGGACGAATCTGGCCGTGCAGAGCGACGGCGACATCATCACCTACATTCATATAGGGGACCTCATGAGCATTTCACTGTGCTCAGTGTGCTCTTTTGGCGGGCTGTGGGCTGGTTTTGTGGCTGGTTTCTCGGCACTGAGAGAACCATACGGTCTGCATGCCACACAGGCTGGATGGTAATAATTCTCATCGCTCACAAGGCTTCACAGCAAGAGCCAGAATAGTACAAGCATAGGCAGTCATTATGTCTACAAAGACCACGGAAATTGCTTGGGGTTTCTCTTTGTAGAGAAAAGCAGCCGTTTCTCATTCATCCACTACATAGCGATGGCGATCGATAACACACAGATCGGACTCGTCAGCTTCAACTTTTCCGTGTTGGCCTCGAAAGGCTCCAGGCTAACTATCCTCCCACAACCACAGGTCCGATTGGAGCCCCTCCCGCTCTGCATCCAGCACCAGATTATTCGCATTCAACTGATCCGTCACAGACAGCATATAGTCCAACGACAACCCAAGACCTCGCCAGTCGAGCGACAGTTCATCCTCCGGATCGGGAGGCACATCGGTAGGCGGGATGGTCGGGATGCTGTCCACTTCCTCAGCGCTGGGACCTGATAGATGCTCCAAGTGTCCGAGCGGTCGCTGTTGGCTTTCAGGCGTGGCCAGCTGCCCGTGTGCTGTGTCTGTGCTGACCGGGGGTGTGTGGTGCCGTTGAACCAAAGGTTGAACGAGTTCCTCCAGCAGCTCGATTTCGGATTTGCGGAGTTGTGCAACGCGGTTGCCACGCTCAATCATCTCGTTCAGGAGGCTGAAGCCGGTCTCACGGTAGGCCGGGTCCATGGCGGCGTCGGGCAGGATGGCGGTGATGAGAGAAAGGATGAAGAAGGATGAGAACACATTCTCTAGGTCGAACGGGAGGAAAGTTTCTTTGATGGACACAGTGTGTTAGCGATAGAAAGTGAGGAAAAAAGTGAGACGGGAATGCGAACCTAGCAGATTTTGATCTCGAAGAGCAGATAGTATTTTGAGGGATTTGACGGCGGAATCGATGCATGCTTGTAGGAGGGTTTGTACAGGTGAGGACAAGGTGCGAAACTCGGCGCCTTCTTCGTAGCAACTAAGGCGTTCCCATAAAAGGCTCAAGACAAGCGGTCTTGTGGTGACGATGATGCACTAATTACCGTGAGTATAATGTGCCATATCGACAGCTCAAGATGGCTTACCAAGTGGCATGACAGAGTCAGTCGAGTGGTGACACCTGACAGGGCGTCTACTGAGTTTGCGAACCGGTTGGAGAAGACTTCGTCAAGCTCGCGAGACAAGTCGGACATCTCTTGTAGGACGGAGCGGACCTTGCGTAGGAATAGACCTCCCAGTGTGCCATCGGCACTGTACACGGCTGTCGAGTTTGTCAGCAAGACGCTGCAAACCATCGGACAATATATTACTTACTGTTCAAAACACGGGCAGTCACTTGCGATATTTTGACGTGCAAACTCAGGACGGCCTCGTTCTGCGAGCATAGTCGTGGATCCCACAAGACGGCGTTGACATCCTCGTCGTTCACCGAGTAGGGCGAACCCATCAAAGAGGAGAATTTGCGGTCCAAGATATATACCGTCCACCAGATGTTGCTCCACCGAGTGACGAGCTTCTGTCCCAGCTGTTCCACGGGCTGAGCGCGGTGAAGCCCCTCTACCAGAGCCATTCGCATAGAATGACCAATCTAATCGAGTTAGCGAGAACCCAACAGTGTTCGCAAGTGATGTCTTACGTAACAATAGGCGGTATCTCTCATATCCACCGAGTAAAAGTAAAGCGCAATGAGGGCTAACGTCTCGATAGCAAGAGTTGGATCCTGCCACAGCCCCGTGATATCCGGCAATAACGACATGGCTCGCGAGAAATATTTCGTCCACGAGGCAGTGTTGGACACAGTCCGCACTGGAGCCAAGAATGCTTCCCCAAATGCCAGTATGACCAGAAACTGCACGTACCACAAACGTGACTCTTGTACCTTCTCCGCCGCATTCTTGTAAAATTCGTGGAGATGGCGGAGAAACGCGTCCTCATCGAAGAGCCGGTACATATTGCCAAAGTGGAACTGCACCGTGCTCACCATGTACAGGGCGTGCTCCATCGACGGCAGTCCGCTGGTATCGGGCACCTCCTCGGAGCTAGCATGCCGCCATAGTATCTGATACGCCTCGCCATCGGCTGCAAGAGGAATCGGCCGCTGGCTGTCGGGATATATACGTGCTTGAACAATGTTGAGGACGCGTCGACTGAACGACCACGTCGAGGTGGGGCCGAGGAACACTGCGCGAGATCAGTTGTGTTAATCCCGTCTGCTGAAAGTACCACGTACGCCACTTCCTGTGTTGTCGACCAGTGTGTTTGACATATGTTGAAGGGGAGACTAAGGGGTTGGAGGCAAATCGGTCGTCGTAGCGGTCGGAATCGAGAGGAGCTGGGGTTTCTGCAGCTTCTGCATTTCCATCTTCACGGGCTAAGACGGTTAGACAAGGCTTCATAGTATGTACTCAGATGGATCACATACCATCGAGAGATTCATTGATGGTGTCTTCCCTCAATGAACGATGTCGTTTGCTGGTGGGTGAAAATGGCACGCCTTCTATCTCTTCAACTTTGCGTTTCAGGGACAGGAAAAGCCTGGGAGAAAGGGATAGCGGTCAGCGCAAGCAAGGAGTGGTGGATGAGTGGGCAAGTGAGGAATACTCTTCAGAGACGACAATCTTCCGATCCTCTTCAAAGACGCAATTCTGGCGACGCTGACGACATTTATCGCACGGATGAGTTCCGGAACACTTGACCTTCCTGGAGCGACATCGTTGACAGCTGGAGTGTTTGTCAGCGCTGGGGTTGCTCGTTTGCTTTGCTCCTATACCGAGGTCACGGGAACACACGCATTGCTGGTCCGTTTGGGACGCTGAGATTGGCTCATGGTATAGCTGTCGAGAGGGGAGAGATCTATCATATTCTTAGCAACCAACAAGCAGTCTCACCACCACTTTTGGACAGCGACAAGATGATGGAAAAAACATAAAGCACAACCGCCAGCTGTCGTCAGAGGACAAAAAGTGGCAGGGGCAACTTATCGCGGAGAAACCCCGATTTTAGTCACTTTACCCCGCATGTTATCAGCTTATCATAGCACCAGGATCTGGCCTCTAAGATAAGACGATCTTTCTTGGCATGAAGCAAGGAGAATTGATTAGAATCTGTAAGGCTATTAACAATTCTCTACCAGGCTAGCTCCGGTCGGCTCATGCAGCTCGCTTCCAGTTGCGAACAAAACCGTTCCTCTTCCGCTAGGCGATCCGTCCTCATTTCTCCCGTCACTGCCGGCAGCGCTGGCCAGATCTCTCGCCCACCTTGGGCCTCTTCCTTCTGGCGATGCTCCATTACCATGTCTCTCAGGCTTTGTTGGAAGTGAATGGGACCCTGTGTTGTTGATGTTAGCCTTGAATTGGCCAGCAGATGCTGTGGCGAGATACCTTTTCCTTGCTCGGGTGGAGCTCGCCGTTGATGAACACCCCGGTACTCAAATTCGTCTGCACACCAACACAGAGCTCTTTGTCCTCCTCCAGCACCTGCCTATAAAATGCGTTGATATTATCAAACTCTTCGTCTGTGGCGTCGCGGTGACGGTAGACTTCGTTTTCGATCTTGCTCGAGGTCGCGCTCAAGGGAATCATCCGCTGAATGTAGAAGAATTTGTCGCTATGACAGAAACGTTAATGACTCGATCGTTGAAGACCAGAATATTCTCCCGACTGATCACAAACTTACGTTACTGTCACGGAGGTGGTCGGAAAAAAGTATGTAATGGCGCGCCGGAACTGGGCGTCGACATTGTCCTTGTTGAAGATATGATGCTCCATGTAGGCAGCGGTGGGCTCCACCCGATATCGCGGCAGATCCGAAACCCCGCTGATAAGCGGATGCGATGTCGCACAGTGGTAGCACTCGTTGTAATTCTCAATCAGCAGCTTCCAGTTCGCCTCCATCTCCATCTCCCAGTAGTGGTCGAAGGTGTACTCCCCGGCGAAATCAAAATCTTGCATGCGCGGCTGCTCGTCGATCTGCTGGAAATCATCATGCCACTGTACGTCGGGACTCTCGCCGGCCTGCAGGTTCACCCACACGAAGCCGGCCTGGTCGACGTGCACGTGGATGGGAAGTAGCCCGTTCTGGCTTTTGTCGAAGTCGGGGACCGTCTCGAAGCGGGGCGCTTTGGAGAGGTTCCCTTTCAGCCCGTAGGACCATCCGTGGTACTTGCAGCTGAGGATGGAGGTGGAGCCGGCCCGAGCCTGCACTATGGGGTATGCGCGGTGGCGGCAGATGTTGTGGAAGCCGTTGATGTTTCCGTCGCGGTCTCTGGTCAGGAGGAAGGAGAACCCAGCGACGGTGAAGGAGAGGAAGTCTCCGGGCTTAGCGAGACGGCTGGAGTGAGTGAGTAGGATCCAGCGTTTGGAGAAGATGGCGCGTCGTTCAAGCTGATACATCGCGTCAGAGCGGTACCAGGAGGCCGGAAGGCCCCGAGGCGGAGACTCCTTTGCTGGTCCATGGGAGGTACGTCCAAATAATCGCCACATTTTCTGTGGTTTTAGGTGAGAATATGCTTGATTTTCGTGCATTGTGGTGCTCCTATAATCATTATATAGCCCCAGTTCGCAATGGTGGGGGTCTGATGGCGATTCAAGAATGGGGGTGCGACACTCCCTGCAGGCATAGCATTGATAAGGAAGTAGCCCTAGCCTATTTTGACATTGATCCTCTATGGATATCAAGATATATTAGCCATGTATGTTTTTTAATGCCATGAGCATTCGGGATATTAAAATATACCCACTCGCACTCCTTTTCTGATGGCTATACTAGGAGTTTGCTCAGGATCCGAGCGTCTACTGATTGGCTTTAGTAGTCCTCACGTAAACGATAGCTACAAAGCCATTGGTACAATTCCAGGTTCTATACCCAAAAGGATTCAACCTGAGATTGTCTCAATGCATGTATGAAGAGGAAACCGGGAGACAAATAAATTGGAAGCTAACATTGAATTGATAAAAGTAAGATGGTAGATAAGAATTTAGCGAAGAAAGTGTAGAATATAAAGTAATCTCAACGGTCATAAGCTTAACAGCATGTTATCTTCTTTGATATAGAAGCGTTGGCTCCACTGACAGTTGTATACAATGGTAGCACAATGAGTCCAAACAATGGCAAACTAGCAGTCTTCTAGAAAATATTTCCGTGACACAGCGGGCATCCATGCATCATCGACCCAAGAGTGGTGGATGCCCAACTACGAACACCTCTTCCCCATCCCTCCCAATAGTCCGCTGGATGCCCCCATTCAACGCTCAACTTCCACTGACAAGATGTCCGCGACAATCCCAACAATCGATCTCTCCCCCTACCTCACCACATCCGACGGCAATGACCCCCAAAAGGCCACCATTATCGCCGCGATCCGCGAAGCCTGCACAACAACCGGCTTCTTCCGCATCACCCATCATGGCATCTCCCCCCTCCTCCAGTCCGACCTTCTGGCCGCCGCAAAGCACTTCTTCGCGCTTCCACTGGAAACCAAGCGCCGGTACATCGATACAACCGCCCGGAAGGGGTACGAGGAGATCGGCTCCCCGATGCTGCAGCAGGGAACGAGGCCGGACATCAAAGAAGTTTAATCCCTTCGCTCCTCCCTGTCGTCGAGCTTTCAGCGGGCTCCCCGGCTAAATATGGTCGAATGTAATTAGTGCTACTTCGTCGGAGCGGAACCCGCCATGCCAAAGGAACCGCCCTACTAACCGTTCGAGTATCCTAATATCTGGCCTGACGCGTCCGTCCTCCCGGAAGCGGTCTTCAAGGAGCCGATCTTGAAGTACCATGAAGCTATCTGTGAACTTGCTCGAACTACCATGGAAATTCTGGTATAGGGATTGGAGGATGATTTTCCTGGGCTGCAATCGGAGAAATTGCTGCAAGATTTCTGTCAAGAGCCCTGCGCGAGCTTGAGGCTGTTGAGGTATCAGGGGCCATCGTCTTGTGGGGATGGTTCGATGGAGAAGGGCAAGGGTCAGAATGAATGTGTGCACAGAGGCGAGGTTGTGGCAGGGGCGCATACGGACTTTGGGGGTATCACGCTTTTGCTGCAGGATGGGAATGAGGGATTGCAAGTTTTAGAACGCCAAGGGAGAAACGGGAACCCAGGAATAGAAGGGGAGCAGGAAGCCGAAGCTTGGGTCGATGTTCCATCCACGCCGGATGCTTATGCTGTGAACATCGGAGACATTTTCAAAAGATGGACCGGGGGCCGGTATCGAAGTACGGTTCATTGGGTGGTGGATGTCTGTAGGAGAGAGAGATATCCGGTGCCGTTTTTCTATGATGGAAACTTGGATTTCATGGTTCGGCCCCTAGACAAGGATCCCTCTTTGAAGGCGGACTGTGGTCAGGTGACCGTCAGAGCGTATTTGATGAAGAAGTTTGAGGAGATCTATCTTTGTTGCAAACAGATACTCAATAGTGGCCATCGAAGACTGAGTCCGGAGAAAAGCAAATAACGGGCAACACACGTGCGATGATGCTCGCTTCGAAACAGCTTATTTAATCAAAGTGGGGGGTTAGAGGCTTTATATTGAGAGACAGAAAGAGAAGAATTATTGTTGTATCTTAGCCATAATAGACCGAGATCTAAACCCTATGTACGCTCCAAGAGGTGCATTGGGGCAGTGGGCCACAAACCAACGACTTGTGGTAAACGTGCTAGTATAGCAGATATCTGGGTTTTTATGCCTAGTATCGCCACTTGCTCTCCCAGAATCTATCCATCTCTAAATGAAAATCATTGCCGTCAATTTCTTCGAACTTCCGCCACAGCTTGTCTGGAACACCTTCCGGGCCCCGAACAAGAATAGCTAAACCTGCACGACCAAATATTGTCCTCTAAACCGCACAGCTCTCAGAGATCAACAGGTCGATCCTCTCCTCTAGACGCAGACCGTGTGCTTGTGAACTGAGCAGAGTAAAAGAACACCCACCGCAACCGGCGTCAGTAAGTTTTGTCCACTCAAGCCCCTGACCAGATAAGATCGTGCGCACTTGCTCAAGGAGAGAGTGAGACCCCCCAAAGACTGTAGGAGTTGGTGGCTGATTTCGAGGAGTGTCCCCAATTGCTCGATGAGAACTGGATCGGGTTGCTGTTTCGGTGCTGCGACGAGCGTCTTGCCGGTCAGCTACGTTGTTAGGCGCCCCGTTGATGGGGCTCGACCCATTGCTGGAAGCTCTTGACAACACTTGCGGTCGATCGCATTTGGCAAGTATCAACAAAAAGGATCGGAAGTTCTGAAAACTCCGGAATCCGGTCTATTGTGGGTTGGGCGAAGTTGGACAGAGCATCTCGCTGGAAGTACAACGCCCCGCCTCGGAGTGAGGTAGTGTGATCCACACCACTGAGCGCTCCATGAAAGCATCGCTTTCCTAGATAGCTTGCTTGATTGATGGCTCTCAGATCTTCTTCTGCGCACAGTTCGTTGTCATTGTCTCTGGGAATGATGGCGCCGGTCTGGGATTAAAAATGGCTGCGGCAACCACTACCGAGAAACTGGCACTGCTACACAAACTACGTTCAATAGGAATTTGCGAGCGAAGGGTGTAGGTTGCACCGGGTGTGGTGCGAAACGCTAACGAAAGGTACATATATAGGAATGCAAGAACCACAGCATTTGGATCCCCAAGTTGGCGCTGGAGCGCACAAATTATTTCTTCTTTTTAATAATTTAATAAATATCACTTCTTTACATTATATAATAATTGATAAATAGTTAAATTTCTAATTCATTCAAAATTCTGAATTTAGTTTAACCTATATTGATACTATAAACTACTGATTTAAATAGAAAGATTTTAATAAGATTATCAATACTTAATAAATACTTATTCATAAGGTATAAATAAATAGTCTAACTAAGCTATGCATAAATTGAAACTATCTCTGAGTTTTTAAAATATTTTAATATAATACTTTAGTGATTAAAGAAAATAAGTTAATAATTTTACAGCCCATGGTTGTAGGTACCAGCCAATATGTTATCTGGTTTATAAACATCAAATGTGTCTCCCCGCGTCAGCCTCGGTTTGCTTTTGCATCACATACTTTTGGGGTCCTCACTTCGGATTTGGAACGGAAGCGAAAGAAGAGGTTGTGTGGCTGAGTTAGTTGATAAGCTCGGGCAGAGTGAGATGGGCCTGGTGAAGCTTTGCTGATGATCACTCCTAAAGTTTGTTGAAGCTGGGGTTGTTTACGCAGTACTTTGGAGATGTATGATGGTCATGGTGTTTCGGTGATTGGCTGCGGTGGTTAGCGGTGGCGGGGGAGGCCGGGGCTAAGCGGGCTGCATCGTGCTTCGTGCGCTTCAGCCCTGCCACCTTTCTATTATTAAACCCTGCATCCAGGCTATTCTTAGTACATCACTACACTCTGGGTACTAGCAATCCGTAATTTTTTCAAATTTCACGTATTCTGGCGATTTTTGCTAAGATTTCATGTCACGGAAATCCGGCTTGTCGCGGGCTTGCCAAGGCTAAATTTGCATGGTAGAAGCCTCAAAAGGGACTAAAGTCTTTAGAAAATCGTGAATCTAGGGGTTCTGAATTGGACTTTCTGATTAGCTAAAGATCACGTGAATATAGTCCACAAAATACTGTATTTTGGCACTAACAAACTGGATTACTGCGGAAATCGAGCGACTTTCTCTTTCTGCTTTAGATCGAACTTAGCGCCGCTTTTTGTTTACTGAACAGCCCGGAGCGTGGGAGGTATATAAAAATATATATTCTGAATAATCTTTAAATAATCCCGGATTAATCTGGGAGTTAATTTAGAGAAGTAACTGTTACTCTGATCGTATATTTAAGTTTATACAATCTAATTATATAATTTAAATAAAATATATATTATTAATATTATTTATTTTATTTTTGTCTTGCCGGCGTGCCTGTTATTTTTCTGATTTTTAAAAAATATTAAGTTCCGTTTTAATAATTATTTTATGTTTAATTTAAACTTTCTAACGGTAATATTTTTTCGAGTACAAATTAGGTTAATCTAAGTTCTTACTATAGTTACTAAAGAGGTTTATTTAAAAATTAATAATATTCTATAACTACTTCAGATTTATATTCTTTTTATTTATTATTTTTTAGATTTTATAATATTTATCTGTACCAGAGGTATTAAAACTTGTCAATTTATAGTATATATTGTAAAGGGAAAATAGGTCAGTTAGGTATAGAATAGTAGCAGTCTATTTATCTCAAGACTAATTCTTGCTATTCTGAAGGTTTAGTAAGATTCTAGAAGTTAAATACTAAAAAAAATCTGAATTATTAATATTACAACTGTTATACTAAAAATATATAGATATACTGTTAGCAATCTGCTATAATTATAAAAGTTATTTATAATAATTAGACTTTTTTTTATATACGGCTGTTTTTAGTAGTATAATAGCAGTATAATATTACTACTTCGACAGATAAACTATTTTATTTAAATATATATAATAATAGTAGGCAGAATTCGGCCGGGGCTAGTTTCAGTTAGATATAATTATTATAATTTAATACTATTCTATTTTAAAAATATTATTATTTTTTAATAATAATATTAATAATATAAACATACTTCTATATATCTATCTTAATATTCTTAATACTATTATTATTATTTATTTTATATTAAAAAGTTTATATTTTTTTACTGCTTCTGCTTCTGTTCGTTCGTTCTACAGTATATATATAATATTTATATTTTATATTTTTTTATTACTAAAACGCTAACAGATCGCTGTAGCTTTATTAATAAATCAGAATATTTATATTATTAAATTTTTATTTTCTAACTAATTAGTTCTTCTCTTTTTATATTATATAATATCTAAAGTACTTATATATTTTAATTAAAAATTTTAATAAAATTATCGGTAAGAACTTTATATTCTACTATATTTTTAATACTGCGTTGTCTGTAAAATATTAATAATATATAATAAAAAAAACTAATTATACTTCAGTAAGTTTTTTTTCTTCTTTAAATCTATTTTATTTTTTATTTTTTTATACTTTTTAATATAAAAGCTAAATATAATCTAAATAGTAATAGTAATATTAGATAATACCGCCGACTTGTCCGCAATTTTAAAATAAATTAATTATTTTTAAATTAAAAAAAATAAAAAGAAATAAAATTTTTTATTATATCGGAAAGTCGCCCGTACCGCCGCTGTTCTTATTAATAAATTTGCTGATATAAAAAAACTTACTATATTAAATATTATATTTTAGTAATTATAAAAAAAACTATAGCTGTAAGTTTTATTATTAATATAACAGATATATATTAATAATTCAATAGAAATATATAATAAAATATTATAAATTTATAGCAGAATACTGTAGTTTAACTATTTAAATTAAAAAAAATATCTAGTATTTCTATTTTTTATTCGGTAATACCGGCTACTTGCTGTAGTCGGTGGCTGTATTTATATTTTTAAATAAAATAATTTAAAAAACTATATATTTATATAGAAACAGACGGAGAGCGGAGGAGCTATTTATTAAAAAATTAATAAAAGATTTTCCGGTAAAGATAATTAAGAATCTGTAGAATTAGTATTATTTTACTGTTGTTAACAAACTGTTTCGATATTCTTATATTATTATAATACTGTTTTTATTCTATTAAATATATACAATCCGGGCTTTTCTTAATATTATTTTTTTTATAATTTATATATATA